GGGGAAAGGTGAGCTGACACCCGCTATCTGGGTGCTGGGGCGGGGGGGGGAATCCCTCCCTCCTATGCTGGGGTTGTGCACTGGTGCTGCGTGTGGAGGAGATCCCAGCGCCATCCCCGTGCCTTTCCCTGCGGATTCCCCGGTTGCTCCCTCGTGGCAGCCATGGATTGGGGGGTCACTGCTTCTGCGAGTGTCTGGGGTCTTCTCTGAGCTCCCTGGGGCAGATGGGTGTATGAGTGAGCTCTGGTTGTGCTCCCTGCAGCACGCAGGGCTGGGCACAGCGCCTCTGCACTCTCCTCTCACAGATGTTGATGAAGCCACCGGAGGTGGGAGTGTATTTACCAAGGACAAACCTGCCTCTACACCAAAGCCGATAGGTACTGGGGCTGTCACCCTGCCTGAACCCTGCTCCGAAGCTGCAGGGCTGCCTGCATGGGGGGGGATGAGCAGGCATGCCTTCCCGCTTGGCTCCGTGTCCCCTGGGGCTGACAGTTTCTTCCATGCGACTCACGAGCCTCTGCCCTGCCCACAGAGCCCGAGGACGGTCTGCTGGAAAGCGTGAAGGAGCTGAGAGCCATGGTCTCTGACCTCACCTTGCTGAGCTCCCGCATCCAGGAGCTGGAGCAGAGCGAGTTCAAGGCGCTGCAGACAGAGATGTGAGTTCAGTGGGGGCTCGTGTCGAGGGCCAGGCACGGGCACCATTCTCCTGGGCATGGCCTCTCCTGTGGGCAGCCTGTCTGGGCTCTGCGTCTTGCCCCAGCCCTGGATTAGACCTCTCCTGCCATGGCTAGAAGGGCTTTTTCCAGCTGGCTGGGCTGGCGGGTTGGCCTCTCCCACCATGGAGCTGGTGGATGCCCAGGAGGGGGTTTGGTAGCCAGCACCACTCTCGGCTGCTATACCCACCCACTCAGCACCGCTGTCCTCTCCCAGCTCCGACCTGCAGCTCCGTCTGGAGACGGTGACAACTGAGAGCCAGGAGAAGATGGATGCCCAGGCTGCCACCATCGTCAAGCTGAACAAGGCACTGAGGGGCAAGCTAGAGGTGAGCTGGTGCCAGAAGTGGGCCAGCGCTCACCCCAGGGCAGAGCCAAACTGGGACGGGCGCTGATCTAGGACACAGAGAAATCTGGGTGACCGGCTCCGGTGATGCCCCATGGGTGCTCCTGGCTCGTCTGACCTTCTCAAACATGAGAAAACCTGCTCCCACCTGGGGTGATGTGGGCGGCCAGGGCCGGGCACTGCCTGACACTGCTTCTTCCCCCTCCCGCAGAACGAGAAGGAGCTGCAGGACGTGGTGAAACAGCAGGAAGAGAAGATGCTGCAACTCATCGACAAGAGTGGGGAAGTCACGGTGTGTGACGGGGACCTGGCCGAGCTGCACGCCTGGGGGGTGCCGGCTGCAGGACCCCACTCAGCATCTTTCCCCCCCGCAGAGGCTGAAGGGAGAGGTCTCTCAGCTGAAGCGCTCGCTCCAGCGTGCAGAGACGGAGGCCAAGGTGTTGTGGGAGGAGATGCGGGGGCAGGAGCCCAAGGTGGATGCTGTCTATGTCCAGGAGCGAGTCCTGCTGCGGCAGGAGGTGAGGCTGGGGGGCTGCTGGGGCTGAGAACTCCTCGTGTCACCACCCCTCTGTGGACAGGGGACCTCTCCAGCCCTCGGTCTTTGAGCAGGCGACCAGTGGGATGGCAGGGGAGAGCCCCCTCCACGCCAGGGCTCTTGCCCCACAGTGATGCCTCAGCGGCGCTTGCTTTTTTTGCAGGTGGACAAACTGCGGCTGCTGCTCCTGGAGAAAGAGGATGAGAATCTGCTGCTCTCCGACAAGTACCTGGAGCAGGTATGGGGACCCCCAAGGGGCTGCCCTGGCTCTTGTGCCCTCTCCCTCCTGGGCCGGTCCCTGCCCAATTTTGGGGCAGGCTCCTAACAGGTATCTCTCACTGCAGGTCCGAGGGTTGGAGCTGAGGCTCTGTCATGCCCAGAAAGTGCTGAGGACCCACGAGGAGATGCAGGAGAAGATGAAAGAGGTGAGGTTTGTTGTGGTTCCTCACTCCCACCCTTGCTGTGACTGCAGCAACACAAAACCCTCATCCTAAACACTGTCACTAACACTGCTGCTGTCCCCAGGTCCTGTCGGCCGTCCCCGACGTGGCAGCCGGCTGCCAGGAGCTCCACAGCCTGCTGCGGTACTTGGGCCTGAAGCCAGCCACTGGCAGCAAGGAAGTTGCTGAGCCGCTATAGCCTGTAGCGTGAAACCTTCCTCTTCTTAATGCTGTAATTATTTATTGAATAAAGTTTTGTTGGCTTTCACCCTGCCTGGTGCCACGGATGCAGGAAGCTTCTGGTGCCCTGGGTGGGGACAACTTGTCCAGCCTGCACCGGCTGCTCCCGCTCTGTCCCTGTCATGGGGCTATGAGCACAACTCCCTGACACCCCAGGGCCTCTCCTTCTTGGCGGGGGAACATGCACCCACCCCCCCACCTCTGCTGGCGTTTGCTCTCATTAAGGCACTGCATTCCCCAGGCTCCCACCCTGCGGCTCCAGCATGCCCAGGCTGACCTAGCTTCCCTCCCTGGGCCCCTGCTCCTCCTCCTGCCCTAGATTCCCTCTGTGCCGCCCCCCCCCCGCAGAGGGTATCGGAGGCTGGATCCTGCACCCCCATCACGGGGCTGCGGGCCACACGCCTGTTGCGTGGCTCCGGCATGCAGCATCCCTTGGGTCGAGGCGAGCGCTGCCTGCCAGGCGCTGGGAGCTCTGCCAGCTCCTGTTCCCAGCCCCCCCCTCCGCCTTGGCCCCCGCTGCCGCATGGAGGGGGCTCCCTCAGGGGCTCCCCTGCTCCCAGTACAGCTCCAGCCTTATGTCCCTCTTTCCCCACTAAGGCATCTCCTGCGGGATCCCCCTCCCGGTGTTCCCAACCCCAAGGATGCTCCCCGCCGCCATGGGGGCCATGCGGCACCTCCCTCCCCTGGCACAGCCCAAAAATAGCACTGTTCAAACAAGTGCTCTGGTTTTTAATGGCCTGTTTCTCCTGCCCGGGGGTTGGAGGCGGGAGGGGGGTTCACCTTCCTCTGCCCTCTGCCGCGGCCCTGCTGCCCTGGGCCGGGCGGGTGCTGCAACATGCTGGGTGCTGGCACATTTATTAGCCCCCGCACCCAGGAAATGGAGATGTTTAGGGTTGTGCCTCTATTTACCGGGTGCGTGGGTGGCTCATGGGGAAGCAGCCCTGGCATCACCTCCTTCCCTGTTATGGCTGTGACCCTGCTGGCAGGGGGTCAGATACGGCCCCCCCCCCCCCCAAGATGCGAGGCTGGCAGTGGGGGCCCCAGGCTGTGCCCGGCTCTGGGATGCGGGGGCAGATGTGTTCCCTTCCCTGGATTTTAGGGCCATGTGGGGTGGCCGAGCCTTCCTTTTACGACGGGGATTCAGCAGAGCAAGGCCCTGGCAGCCGGCCCTGTGGGGTGAACGGGGACACCGCTATTGTCCCTGTGCCGGCTGCGGGCAGCTTTTTTTTTTGGGGGGGGGGGCTGGTCTCCCGTGGGAGCCCCTGCCCTGTCCTGGGGGCAGTGCTGGGGCTTGGCTCCTGGTAGCAGAAGTGACGCAGCTGGGGTCCCTGGCACGGCGACAGTGGGGTGGCACGGTGAGCCCCAGCCTGGGGGTGGCACAGGGGGGGTCCCTGGCCCGGAGGGCGATGGGGGGAAGGTCCCCTGCCTGTTGTTGATAGTGGCAATGG